GACACCAGGCGCAGTGGCCCATGCCTGTAATCCCAGCATTTTGGGGGGGCCAAGGCGGTTCAAGACCAGCCTGGCTAACATGATGAAACCCCATTTCTACTAAAAATACAAAAGTTAGCCAGGCATGGTGACGTGCGCCTGTAATCCCAGCTACTCGGGAGGCTGAGGCAGGAGAATTGCTTCAATTTAGGAGTAGCAGGTGGCAGTGAGCTGAGATCATGCACTGCACACCAGCAATTTTTTTGGAGACACATGGTCTCAAAAAAAACAAATAAATAAAAATGAAGCCTTGTCAGAAGAGGTCTCGGACACACCGACTTTGGGTGAAAATATGAATTCTATTATTTTTATAATCAGGCAATGGTAGAATCATAAAATGATTGGACTGGTTAGACATCTTAAAGACGCCCAGGACCCAGCACTTTTGGAGGCCAAGGCAGGTGGATCATGAGGTCAATAGATCGAGACCATCCTGGTCAATGTGGTGAAACCCCGTCTCTACTAAAAGTACAAAAAATCAGCTGGGCATGGTGGCGCGTGCCTGTAATCCCAGCTACTCAGGAGGCTGAGGCAGGAGAATTGCCTGAACCCAGGAGACGGAGGTTGCGGTGAGCCGAGATCGCGTCATTGCACTCCAGCCTGGGTAACAAGAGCGAAACTCCGTCTCAAAAAAAAAAAGACTCCCAGGAAAATCCTACTGCTTGCTTGATAAGAAAACTAAAGCACTGAAAGTTAAGTGAGTTCGTCATGGCTGTAGAGCTACAAATTGGCAGAATGGCTAGAATTCCCATCCATTTGCTTCTGGGTGAATGCCTCTAACCTTTGGCTCTTTTATCCACACTATACCGGGGCAAAAATGTTTCTGTATTCCTCACATCATTTACTCCTCCTCCCTGTATCACACTAGATATGAAAGCGAATATGTGTTTGGACACTTCTGCCCAAGCATCCACACCCCGCCACTCACAGCGGCGGATGCAGGCTAGTAATCTCACGGGTGTCGGGACAACTGAGCTTCCAGAATGAAGACGTCAAACTGCCGCCTGGCAAGGCCTCTTAGGCAATACAAAATGTCTGTCCCTTTTTTACAAACTCTTTGGAGATAATGCCTTTTATTTATTTATTTATTTTGAGACGGAGTTTTGCTCTGTCTCCCAGACTGGAGTGCAGTGGTGCAATCTCGGCTCACTGCAACCTCTGCCTCCCGGGTTCAAGCGATTCTCCTGCCTCAGCCTCCCGAGTAGCAGGGATTACAGGTGCCTGCCACCATGCCTGACTAATTTTTGTATTTTTAGTAGAGATAGGATTTCGCCACGTTGATCAGGCTGATCTCAAACCCCTTACTTTAAGTGATCCACCTGCCTTGGCCTCTCGAAGTGCTGGGATTACAGGCGCGAGTCACCATGCCTGGCCTAACAGCTCTTATAATTAATTCCTTGAAAATCTTTACAAATCTTCACAGGGCACTAGTGGCAGTTACAGCTTCTGCTTTTCCCTTCATGTTAAAAGCAAACAGGATCAACTACTGACAAAATTAAGTGCTGGAAGTATAGATCTTTCAGAGAAATACTAAGCCTTATATTCCTGAAACCTTTTCCTGCCTCTCTACTTGAGGAATGTACAGTCTTCTCTTCACCTCCTTTGTCCCTCGGTCTGATCAGGAAAACAACCCAAGCCTCCCAGTCCGGTTAGTTAAAGGGACTTTAACAATTACATTTTAACTAACATCTTTATTCATAGAATGAAGTATTTGGCACTTATTCATGGGATGTCATGCACTAGGAAGCAAGTAATAGATTTCCTGCTAGTGTTGGTGGGAAAGACTTAAAAATTCTGCGTCAGTGTCCATTCTGCAGAAAACACTGCTGCTCCTGCGGTAAAGAGCCTTAAGATTCTGGAGACTATGAAATGCTCATTCATCCAACCAGCATGGATTTGCTCACAGTATGCCAGGCTTGTGCCAGGAATTGGTAGCCATGCATGTGGCAAAGTTTCACTCTCATGTAACCTACATTCTTATAAATGGGGTAGCCATAAAATAATCAAATAAGTATAGAAATAAACAAGATACACTGGAAGTTCTCTGTACTGACTTCCTCTAACCTCCAGTCAGTGTGTTCTGCAGAGGGCATGAAGGATTTAGGCTATTCTTCTGTTTCCATGTATGTACCTAACAAGAATTCAATTCTTCTCAGAACTGTTATGCCAGATGTAGTTACATAGTTCATATAAGTATCATAGAAGCCAACAAAATATGAGTTGTTTCTGGAATGCTAAATTGAATGCTTTGTAAGGACTTTCTTTAAAAATTACTTAAAAGTTATAGAATAGGCCAGGCGTGGTAGCTGACACCTATAATCGCAGCACTGTGGGAGGCCGAGGCAGATGGACCACCTGAGGTCAAGAGTTCGAGACCAGCCTGGCCAACATGGTGAAACCCTGATTCTACTAAAAATACAAAAAAATTTAACCAGGTGTGGTAGCAGGCCCCTGTAGTCCCAACTGCTCAGGAGGCTGAGGCAGGAGAATCACTTGAACCCAGGAGACGGAGGTTGCCAAGATTGCTCCACTGTGCTCCAGCCTGGGCAACAGAATGAGACTTTGTCTCAAAATAAATAAAATAAAATAAAATAAAAAGTTCTCACTGCAGTTGAAAGGAACTGAATTGTCACTTAAAGGGTGTAATGTATGGATGCCAGTCGGCAGATCCATGCTAATAATAATATGGCTTAAGCGCTATATCATTTATATTAAACATTGTCACAATAAAAGGATTAAGGTTTCTTTATATCCTATATATATAATATCTTCTTTTTTTTCATTTTTTGAGACAGTGTCTCACTCTGTCACCAGGCTGAAGTGCAGTAGCGTGATCTTGGCTCACTGCAACCTCCGCCTCCCAGGTTTAAGCGACTTTCCTTCTTCAGCCTCCCGAGTAGCTGGGACACAGGTGCGCGCCGCCACACCCAACTGCTTTTTGTTTCTTTAGTAGAGACGGGCTTTCACCATGTTGGCCAGGATGGTCTCAATCTCTTGACTTCGTGATCCACCCGCCTCGGCCTCCCAAAGTGCTGGGATTACAGGCGTGAGTCACTGTGCCCGGCCAATACATGAGGAGGCTCAAAGACAGAGGTGGCCGGACCTCTTGACTCTTGTAACTCCTGTAATCAGCCCTTTGCCTGACCTGACCACAAGATAAGCCTCCTCATTTTCCACACTCCACACTTTCTTACTTCCCCACAAGATAGAGATGTTGACTTCCTGCACATTTCCCGTTCCTTAGTTTCCTGCCTTTCACATACATCATAACCGTAATGTTTCTGTTTCTGGAATATAACAAAGGTGTTAAGTTGGTTTCCTTTGGTCTTCTCCCCTGCGTTTCTTTGCCATCTCTCTGGTGTCTTGTTTCTGCCCTGCCCGGCTGTGTGTCTTGTGCATTCCAGTTACCCCACTCACCTTTCACCTGATTTTAAAAACTCATTCAGCCCAGGACTTAGAGCGAGTGTGGTTAAATAGTGTTAGGTTCACGTAATGTCTGAAACTTTTAGTAGGAAAAATGCTACCTTGCCAATTTGTCTGTGTCTGAAAGGAGTTTACATTTAAAAATTTGGCAATTTGACAGAGGCAAATTTAAGATTTGAAATATTTTCTTAAATGTAGACAGTTGATTCATCTGCAGCTACAAGGTGAGGGCAGGAAGTGACGGTGACCAGACGTACCTGAATAAACTCAGGAAAGTAACTCTACATCGAGGGTCCCAAACTTTAGGATCTTTTGGAGTATTTGCTGAAAAATGTAGGTTCCTTAGTCCACCATCAGAAACTCTGATTCAGTGGGTCAAGAATGGAATAAGAAATACTAAACAATGACCCGATGCAGTGGCTCATGCCTGTAGTCCCAGCATTTTGGGAGGCTGAGGCAAGAGGATCACCTGAGGTTGGGAGTTCAAGACCAGCCTGACCAACATGATGAAATCCCGTCTCTACTAAAAATACAAAAATAATTAGCTGGGCATGGTGGCATGTGCCTGTAATCCCAGCTACTTGGGAGGCTGAGGCAGGAGAATTACTTAAACCTGGGAGGTGGAGGCTGCAGTGGGTTGAGATCCCACCACTGCACTCCAGCCAGGATGATAAAGTGAGATTCTGTCAGAAAGAGAAAGAAAGAAAGGAAGAAAGAAAGAAAGAAAGAGAGAGAGAGAGAGAGAGAGAAAGAAAGAGAGAGGAAGGAAGAAAGGAAAAGAGAAAAAAAAAGAAAGAAAGAAAGAGAGAGGAAGGAAGGAAGAAAGGAAAAGAGAAAAAAAAGAAAGAAAGAGGAAACAGAAAGATGCTGAACAAGATATATAGACAATATAAAACTGGACCAGTGTATCGCATCTGATAGTGGAGAGATCTGGGGCTGGATCTTGAATCTGAAGGTAATCAACTCCCTGTGATTTCTTTTCCTAATCCATAAAAGAAGGATAGTGACAGTGAGACACTGTGTTGGGGTTAATATTTTAGAAAACATCTACATGTTTCTTTCCTTTGCCTTTCGGAGAGTGTCAACTACTTCTGACCTGTCCAGTCTAACACAAGGTATATTGTCTTGGTAGGCTAGGGGATCTGAGAAGGAGATTAGAATTTGTGTCTGAAGGTTTACAAAGAGGAAGAAGTCAATATTTAGATTCTGACATTCAAGATGGAGTTATGCAGCAGGACCATTGCTATGAGACAGTATTTCTATTTTCCTTTATCCACTCCCACCTGCCTTCTTCCTGCACCTCACAGTAGCATGAGAAAAACCAGACATGGAAGTTTGAGGTCATAAGAATTCTCTTAAAATTTAGAAAACAGGCCATCAGGCTTAGGGCTCTGTGGTAGAATGAGGATATGTTAGGGAAAATAAAAGAAAATCCCACCCCTCTATGCGTGCAGAGAAGGGGTGCATGGGTGAGGAGAGGGTCTTCTTTCAGTTTCCCTCCTTTCCAACCATCACCTTGAGACAAGTGTTGTCTCTGAGTTCTGTCTGGGTTCAGAGGAATTTGAAGCAGAGGTGAGGGACAGAGGGTGGGGCTAGGCAACATTACTGAGAAAAACAAGTCAATGCACTTTCATTTTCTGCTGACATAAAAGAAACAGAAAGGCGGGCTTCAGAAACCGGCTGCCTGGCTAACTTACAGCACTCAGACTCCGGCAGGATCATGGCTATGATGGAAGGTCAGGGGGGACCCAGCCCCGGGCAGACCTGCGTGCTGATCCTGATCTTCACAGTGCTCCTGCAGTCCCTCTGTGTGGCCGTAACTTACTTGTACTTCACCAATGAGCTGAAGCAGGTCAGTGCAATGCAGTGCGTTCAGTCTCTGAGGCGCTTAGCAGTTGTCCGTTACCTGCTTCTCCTTTGCATGTCAGCTTGCTCCTCTCTGAAGATCCGGCTGCTTTCTTTCTCTGTCGGTAGACTCGAGCTGCTAACTTGCATAACCACTGAGGACTTCGCCAACGTGTAAGTTCCAGAAATTGTGTAAACGAAGTGCAGTCACAGAATTGGCTCCACGAGTTACTAGCAGATGCGGGCAACAGAACTCCCGAGAGCTTTTTTGTTTTCAGAAGTATTTGTATTTTATAATATTAGCTGTTGCAACTGTTCATGAAAGCTTTCTGCTAAACGCTTTATAGTTCTTTTTTTTCTTTTCCAAGCTTTTATTTGTGCACATTCGATTGAAAAAGATAACTTTTACAAGCTCTTTGGTGCCCATATTCAGCATACAAAAAATGTAAAAGACTATTCACAAATAAAACTGAGGCTAAATTAGATCAAAATGGAAAAAAATGACAAGTACACAGCAGTAAAACAATCTAAGGTAGTGCACACTGTGGCAACTCTGCTTATGGGGACATGAAAGTTACTGCAAAAATAAACAGAATGTCCTTTTGTAAAAGCAGCAATGTCATGTCTTGTAAACTTCCTTCTTTATATTACAGCAAGGTTTGGAATAAAATCCGAAGGGACGGGTACTTACCCTGTAGCCGTGAATAAATAAAAGTATATTTCCTCATGACCAGTTTCCTTTTGAGTCCAATGTGCAGCAATCCAAGGTGCACAGTTAGAAATTCTGACCAATTAAGTGGGGAATTATAAAATTTCTTTCCTGCTTTCCAACACAAATAGTAAATCTGTTCCACAGCAGTAGCAAAGTCTGTAAATTGGGCCTTGTTACTTTGACACTTTCTGTCAGAACAAATCTGTAACGTAGCTCTTAGAAACTTTATCTGAGAGCACACAGCAGAGTGAAGTTCAGGTTCGTAACTCACATGAGGTCTATTGTTCTTCATGAATTCTGGCAAACAGATTTTTTTTACTTTTTATTTTTTTATTTTACTTTAAGTTCTGGGATACATGTGCTGAATGTGCAGGTTTGTTACCTAGGCATACATGTGCCATGGTGGTTTGCCACACCCATCAACCCGTCATCCAGGTTTTAAGGCTCACAGGCATTAGGTATTTGTACTAATGCTCTCCTTCCCCTTCCCCTCCATGCCCTGACAGGCCCCAGTGTGTGATGTTCCCCTCCCTGTGTCCATGTGTTCTCATTGTTCAACTCCTACTTATGACTGAGAACATGGGTGTTTGGTTTTCTGTTCCTGTGTTAGTTTGCTGAGAATGATGGCTTCCAGCTTCATCCATGTCCCTGAAAAGGACATGAACTCATCTTTTTTTGTGACTGCAAAGTATTCCATGGTGTATATGTGCCACATTTTCTTTATCCAGTCTATTATTGATGGCCATTTGGGTTGGTTCCATGTCATTGCTATTGTAAATAGTGCTGCAATAAACATTCGTGTGCACGTGTCTTTATAGTAGAATGATTTCTAATCCTTTGGATATATACCCAGCAATGCGATTGCTGGGTCAAATGATATTTCTGATTCTAATCCTTGAGGAAGCACCACACTGTCTTCCACAATGGTTGAACTAATTTACACTCCCAACAACAGTGTAAAAGCATTCTTATTTCTCCACATCTCCAGCATCTGTTGTCTCCAGATTTTTTAATGATCGCCATTCTAACTGGCATGAGATGGGACCTCATTGTGGTTTTGATTTGTGTTTATCTAATGACCAGTGATGATGAGCCTTTTTTCATGTTTGTTGGCCTATAAATATCTTCTTTTGACAAGTGTCTGTTCATATCATTTGCCCACTTTTTGATGTGGTTGTTTGTTTAACATCTTGGATGTTAGACCTTTGTCAGATGGGTAGATTGCAAAAATTTTCTCTCATTCTGTAGGTTGCCTGTTCACTCTGATGATAGCTTCTTTTGCTGTGCAGAAGCTCTTTAGTTTAATCAGATCCCATTTGTCAATTTTGGCTTTTGTAGCCATTGCTTTTGGTGTTTTAGTCATGAAGTCTTTGCCCATACCGGTGTCCTGAACGGTATTGCCTAGGTTTTCTTCTAGGGTTTTTATGGTTTTAGGTTTGACATTCAAGTCTTTAATGCATCCTGAATTAATTTTTGTAGAAGCTGTAAGGAAGGGGTCCAGTTTCTGTTTTCTGCATATGGCTAGCCAGTTTTCCCAGCACCATTTATTAAGTAGGGATTCCTTTCCCAATTGCTTGTTTTTCCAGGTTTGTCAAAGAGCGGATGGTTGGTGTTATTTCTGAGGTCTCTGTTCTGTTCCATTGGTCCCTATCTCTGTTTTTGTATCAGTACCATGCTGTTATGGTTACTGTAGCCTTGGAGTATAGTTTGAAGTCAGGTAGTGTGATGCCTCCGGCCTTGTTTTTTTTTCTTAAGATTGTCTTGGCTGTCTAAGCCCTTTTTTGGTTCCATATGAAATTTAAAGTAGTTTTTTTCTAATTCTGTGAAGAAAGTCAATGGTAGCTTGATGGAAATAGCATTGGATCTATAAATTACTTTGGGCAGTATGGCCATTTTCACAATATTGACCTATCCATGAGCATGGATTTTTTTTCCCATTTGTGTGTGTCCTCTCTTATTTCCTTGAGCAGTGGTTTGTAGTTCTCCCTGAAGAGGTCCTTCACATTCCTTGTAAGTTGTATTCCTAGGTATTTTATTCTCTTTGTAGCAATTGTGAATTGAAGTTCACTCACCATTTGGCTTTCTGCTTGTGTATTATTGGTGTATAGGAATGCTTATGATTTTTGCACATTGATTTTGTAGCCTGAGACTTTGCTGAAGTTGCTTATTGGCTTAAGGAGTTTTTGGGCTAAGAGAATGGAGTTTTTATACAATTATGGTCATCTGCAAACAGAGACAATTTGACTTCCTCTCTTCCTATTTTAATACCCTTTATTTCTTTCTCTTGCATGACTGCCCTGGCAAACAGATTTCAAATGGCATGTTACACACTGCCAAAACATAACAACCTCAAAGTCTGTAAATATTACCTAAAAACCTGGTTTCTGCAGACTGCAGACTACACGTCTGGCACCAAATTTAGCTTCTTCACTTGTTGCTCCAGGGCAAATAATTTTTCCTCAGGAAACTCCATGAAACTCCCGCCCCAGCCCGTTGCTAGGAGCCCCCGGCGTTCCGGCTCTGTCTTCCCTGCTTTGTTGTCCTGGATGCGAGTTACAGTTCTTGACTCATGAATTCTTGGGGACGAGGGTGGCTGTATCAGAGCCGGATTTGCTTCCGCTCACCAGTATACCTCTGGGTCTACCATATGGCTCCCAAGTAGCCACTAATACTAATACTTGTGATTCACTAAAAACTTGCTGAATGAATGAACAGCCTTCACAAGCATGGTAGGTCCACGAACATGCAGGCAACAAGGGTAGAGTCAGGCTCAACCCAAAGCCAGGCTCTAAATCACTGAACCCTCCTGTTGTGTGTTCTAGATGTAGCTAGTCCTGGTGAACCTTCAGACCTTTGACATGTTTTGCTGTGTTGACAATAACTGAGAATACAAAGGTATGACATTCTGCCTACTCCTGGGGCACTGGCATGTCATCGGTAGGATCTGTAATAAAGAAGTTATCAGAGAAACACAGCTGTTCATGATAAAACAATGGAGCATAAAATGACCACTCTCTGCCTGCAAATGGTTCATGTACAAATCGAGGTATCTTTGACAGAAAAGAAAACACTTAGTGCCATTTTAATTTATGATTTTCTCAATGAAAACTCCCTGGAATTATGACTGCAAAATTTCTGAAAATAAGCCAACTCAGTTGTTGACTTCTAATATATATTTTAACTAATTGTATATTAAATAGTAGAGAATTAGGAGCTACAAGGAACTTCAGATCCCCCCTAGCCCTCACACTCACTCCCACCCTCCACCACCTTTTTACAGATGAGGAGACAAGAAATAATATACTCAGCTTCAGACAAGGCATTGGAGGCAGCGCGGGGGCAGTTAGAGCCCAGGTCTGTAGGCTTCTCCCTCCGCAGCAGGGTGGCCACAGGATTAACCTGTTTGCACCTTGTGATGTACAAAGAATGCACAGGGCATCCTGCAGCATCAACCCTGGCAGCTGACTAGCAAATGAAAGGCTAAGCATCTCAGAAAAGTATAAATTGTGCAAAAGACACAGAGTGTTAACTATTTGCTAGGGAAATGTAGTTTGCATATCCTGTGGAGTGTAAATTCAGTTATCTCAATCAGAAATTTTTCTTTTGGAAATGGATGAGGCAGATTCTTGTTTGATTTGCAAGTGATTATGAAAATTATGGCTACCATTAGATGACCAGCAAAGTCAGGTTTATTGTAGGGCACATTTAGAAAAGACTTTCTTTTGTAAGAAAAAAATATTCATAAAACTATCATCATACCTTTAGCTTTAAGTCTACATGAGAGACTGGAATGCTGCTATGTTCACCACTGTGGAGCCAGAATGTCCTCACCTTTCTTAACTTTGCAGCATACACAGAATAAAGCTGTTACTTCATACACAAGTAGCTCCATCAATGTGCTCACATTACAAGTTGGACTAATTTCAAGATTGAATCAACCAGTTCTTTGCTGAACTGACTTATGCAATTGTCTGTGTATATAATCAAATTTCTTTTTCAATTCTACTATAAAAGTGGAAATTTCATATAAGGCTTAGGATCTTCCCAGTTGCACACATTTTTCTTAATTGCATATTGATATATGAATACATGTATGTTAGGCATGCAGAAGAATTCATTGAGAGTTCTCGAAGGCTAGGATAATTATAGGTTTTGAGCAATTACTGCGTACCAGGAACTTTGAAAGATATTGCCTTGTCTCAAGTCTCAGAACAATTATATAGCCTAAGGGTAATTACCTCTTGTTATAGATGAAAAAAAAGAAGGCTCAGGTGAAGTTAAGAGATTTGTCTAAGATTACAAAACTAGTAAAAGGTAAAGCCTGATTTTGAACCCAAGTGTGAAGGAGGTACTCAATACATGGAAGCACCTACTTTTTTTTTTAACAATGCATTTTTTTTTAATACAATACAATGCTTTTTTTATAGTAGCATTGTAATTACTGCTGAAGAGTCTCCTGAAAGTGTCACTTTCTTCATCAGATATTTTCCCAAGGGAAAATAAATCTGAATCTTCTGTGTAGACTTTGGAAAAGTATATTCAACATAAGTATTAATTTTTGAAAATTGAACACAGCCTTCATTTGAGCTGGCGAAAATTTGCAGAAGATACAGTCTGCCAGGATTATAGGGTGCAAGGGTGAAGGAAGGCTTTATAACATTGGATTGGACCTTTATAAATAAGCCTGTAGACCTGCAAACATGATCAACCAGTATGGGCTGAGCCCCTGAAGTCTGTGTCCCTCTGAGAAAGTTTTATGACTAAAGAATGGCCTATCACTGTGGCATCATAGAAGTGGAGGAAAAAGGAGAAGGGCTTCCTCTCCACACATCTTCATAAATGAATCTTTGTGCTATTTGTAGTTTGCAGAAAATGATTGTCAGAGACTAATGTCTGGGCAGCAGAGATGGTCAGTGCTGCCATCTTGTCTATCCTGCTGATTCTACCCTGCTGAGCTCAAGCCCCAACAAGGACTGGTTGACCCTGGCCTAGCCAACCACCATGTTTGTAACAGCCCCAAGAGCAGTCACCATGGAAATCCACTTTTCAGAACCAAGAGCTCCTGGAGCTGAAGAACAGGCACCCACTGCAAGAGCTTTCTTTACAAGGGCACGCAAATGAAAATAACCCACCTACACAATCTCCTGCCCCCAGTGCCCAGGCGTGGTTAGTTAGATAGTAGACCTCAGCCTATGATATGCTGCAGGAAATTCATACTTTGAAGTGGAAAGGCTGGGAGGAGGCAGGTGGAGGCATATCATGCTCATGATCATTCTTAGAATAACCACAGCACCCCACGTCAGCCCGCCATCTGTCTAGTCACCAGTATGGCCAAGTTCTATAGAAGAAACTACTAACGAACAAGATGCAAGAAATATGTGAGGGTGAAGAAGGTGACTGGGGCTTCCTCTCTGGATTTCTAGTGTTCAGAAATCAATACTTATGCATAAAAAGGTCTAGAAAGAGAAACACCAAAATGGCAATGTGATCTCTAGATGGTATGATTATGGGTGCTTTTTATTCCTTTTTATTTTTCTATATTTTACAAATTTTCAAATATCCATGCCATACATGTATAATCTTCATACAGATTTAAAGAACACAGAATTTTTATATAGTCTTATGAGAAAACAACCATACTCAAAATTGTGCACATGCGTGCAGTCTGATCTTGCCCCTGTAAACAAGAGACATCCTCCAAAGGTTAACTAGGAGGTGGGAGTATAGCAGCTGTTAGTGGTTGTGATTTTGTTTGTGTGATTTACTAATTAATTTTGGAGTGGTTTTTTTTTCTAACTTTTGGAAATGTGTTCTTTACTTTTCCATGCTTCCCAGTTTGCCTGTGTATCCTGACTGTATCCAGGCTTTATGAACTCCTGGGTAATCATGTAACTACATTAGCTTGTCAATCACCCATCCACTCATACCTGGGATCTTACTCAATTCTCCAGGTTCCCCCCACCTCCTCCAGAAAGTATTTCTGGGAAATACTCAGATGGTATTACAGGCTCTATACAGCAATTTGTACTCACCTGGGCTGGTCCCTGTGGCTCAAGCTCCCCCACCACCACCCAAGTCAAACTCCACCTCAGTTGAAAAGTTGTTGCCTGACACCATTACAACCTAATCATAGGCAGCTGTCAACTCTGTACCTTGCCTCCTACGGCTGGAGCCTCCCATCTTCAGCCATTTCCTGCTAAGATACCTTACAGCTGCTGTGAGGGGAAAAGGCATATTGCTTCCTCCTTTCTGGTATATGCACACTTTTTGCCCCAACATGTTACAGAGATTTGTGAGCTTGTCTGCTCAGTGTAATCAAACCGAAGCTTAGCCAGAGCACACTCATACTTTGGGTGGGTGAACTGGCACAGTGTCCAGGAAACGTCTGCTCTTCCTGGAACCACCCTCAGCCCTTGTGGCTGATCTCAGTTCCTCGTCTCTTCTTTCATGATCCTTTTCCACATCTGGCTCGACATGCTCTCTTATTTCTAAATCATATGTGACTGGGTGCTTTCCTTGCAAAGGTTTTGCATCTCCCAAGTAAATTGGAGGTGCAACTACGAATCTACAGTTGGGCATGCAGGGGCAAGGTCCTTAATGTGCCTAATTCCATGGCCAGTGATCTCTCAACTCAGGTGGCCCCAGCTTCACCTCCCAGTACATATACTATGGGAATATTTTTCTCTTGTAATTTCAAAGAGGAAGAAGGAAAATAAACAATTGTTTGAAAGTAAATGAATGATCTATGTCAGGGTGTGTGGAGGAAATTTATTAACTCAAGTGTGTACCATTTGAGGGACCTTGGTCAAATGTCCAAGGGTTATAGGGCTGAGACAGAACTCTGTGATCCTGGCTAGGACCTCTCATAAACAGTTCAGATATTTTGATTTAAAATGAGATTGTCTCTTTATAGGAAGGAGTTTGTCATCATTCAATTTGACCCTTCCTTCAGGCTTTGCAGTCCTTTAGTTCAAATAACAGATTAAAATTGTCATTTATTTCCCCAGGTAGAGTCAATTCAGGAGATTTTTTTTTCAGGGAAATAACATCTCTTCAATCCCACTTGTTAAAAACAAAACAAAACAGAAGAGAAGAAATGGGCAAAGCAAACAAACGAAATCCTTCTGGCTTTGTTTGGACCTTCTGTTTCTTATTCTTCTTGATTAAACAATTATCAGCCGGAAGAGTTCTGGATGGTTGGGGGGTGTGTGTGTGTGTGTCTGTGTGTGTGTGTGTGTGTGTGTGTGTGTGTGTGTGTGTCTGTGTGTTTATAACATCAAGCAAGGATTTGCTGATGAGGGTTAGGAGTTTGTTGACAATGATCTGCTATTGCCATTGTTTACTTTCAATCAGAAACGGTGAGAAAACCTTCAAAGAGTGTTTAAAGTCTCTGCCAATAAATCCCTAGTTCGTGTGAACATTTAATGAGACAGCATTCAGATTTCTAGCAGCAACACGGTCCAGAGTCTGCCTGCCAGAGGAGTAGAAATCAGATCAATTACTAGAATCTACTTAGCCACAGCTCAGATCCACAAACAGAATATGACCCCCTCCCAAATGATTTGGCTGGTTTTTATTTAGAATCTTGGAATTTAAACTGACTCCATTGCCGACCTTGTATCTAGGTAGGTTTCCAGCTTCAGAATGGGATACATGCCATGGCAGAGCAGGAAGAGACCTCAGAATCATTGTAGTGAACCAGCTCAAAACAAAGGAACAGACACAGGAGAACAGAGGCAACTTACCAAGAAAGGCACAGCGGTCAGATCTTGACGAACCCCTGGATCCTTTCCACCATATCCAGCTGCTTACTTTTATTCCTTTGTTTAAAGGGCACAGGACAGCATGTTTACTCTTATTTCAGGCAGGAACTTACTCAACGTGCCAAAACTTCTCCAAGCCTGCCGTCAGTTTCTGTTGTTTTAACTTCCAAATGAACAAAAATAAAAAGCACTTATGCGTAATACATTCCATCTCAACGCAGATGCAGGACAAGTACTCCAAAAGCGGCATTGCTTGTTTCTTAAAAGAAGATGGCAGTTCCTGGGACCCCAGTGACGAAGAGAGTGTGAACAGCCCCTGCTGGGAAGTCAAGTGGCAACTCCGGCAGCTCGTTAGAAAGGTAGGTAACCTCACCAGACAACCTCTCCAGCAGGCAGAAAAGGCCGGAAGAATTCCTTAAAGCAAAGGAATCTTTAAGATAATCAAGCCTAGACTCTTCATTCTACAAATAAGAAAACTTAGGCCCGGAGTGTTTAAGTAATTTCCCCTAAATTCATAGAACTAGGAAAATGGGGCATAGCAGCAGAGGGCAGGGCGTGGCTGGCCCCTGGTCTAGAGTTCATACCTGTATCCCAGACAGCCTCCACATTTAGTCTAACCTTTTAATCTCACATTATGGAAACTGAGGCACAGACAGGGTAATGAACAGAAGGTCCCAAAGTCATAAAGGATGTATGGGATTTTTTTTTCGTTCAAAAGATAAAGGAGGCCAAATCGTGATTTATTTTCTTCCCATATTGCAGATGTCTGGAGATAAATATTTATTTTTGTATATCTATGCAGATGAAGAAAGAAGAAAGTAAGAGGGAAGAAAGGAAAAAAAAGGGAAGGGAAGAAAAAGATGCTTTGAGAAATTGAAGCGTTTTTTTCTCTTAATTTATAGCCAGTAAATAACAAATTACAGAAAGTATCTATGTATGGATGTTACTTAAACGGGACCTCTAGCAGAGACACGTTAGTTAGCAGTTTATTTTTTTGAATGTGGCAGAGTCAGATAAAATCAGGTTTCTTCTCTTAGGCTCTTCCTTCTTTGTAAGATGGCATTTAATAATATTCGCAGCTGGGCATGGGTCCCAGCACTTTGGGAGGCCGAGGCAGGCAGATCTCCCTGAGGTCAGGAGTCAAAGACCAGCCTGGCCAACGTGGCAAAACCCCGTCTCTGCTAAAAATACAAAAATTAGCCAAGCATGGTGGTGTGTGCCTGTAATCCCAGCTACTTGGGAGGCTGAGGCAGGAGAATCGCTTGAATCTGGGAGGTGGAGGGTGCATTGAGATTGTGCCACTGCACTCCAGCCTGGGCGACAGAGCAAGGCTCCATCTCAAAAGAAAAAAAACTGCTTCTGCCTATGTAAAAATATCAGATGAGAACATAGCTGTAAAAATACTCTAGTGTAAACTGTGAACTACACCATTGTTTTAAGCCATAACCGGGGGGAATTCCCAGGGTAGGAGAAGAATGTGTTTTTACACGTTTGTGAGTCCATTGTTTGGTGCTCAGCATCTGTTTCTCCATAGAAATAGTGGTATATTGGTGGTTAGGGAATGAGTTTATAATCCTGAGCTGTTTTCACAGTAAAGCCCCGACATTACGTAAGATGCTATTTCTACGGGAAACGAAACTAGACTTCCCCGTAGGAGTCCTAGAAACATACCTGTCCTAGAAGCATGGCCCCGGGCTGGGGTGCCCCTGCACACAAGCAGCTGTGATTCCATCACTCCAAATGACAGCGAGTGTTCAGGGTGCAAGGGCCAGGACACTAGGAAAAGCCTGGACTGGAGAAGGGTCCTGAGGGAGCCGAGAAATGAAACTCCCAAGTCCCTGGGATAGGGGTTTGGGGAGAGTGGAGGTGAACTGTCCAGCAGGGGAGAGCAATTCAGAACGAGGGTGGAAGGCTGGAGGTCAGGAGACGGCTGGGTGTCGTGGACAGAGAGTGGGGAGAGAAGAGAAATAGTGGGGACGTATCTCTTTCCTGCTATTCCTGTCATTCACCTTCCCATCTCACATCCTGCTACCAACTAGAATAGAGAGAAGGTGGGAGAGAACACAGAGGGAATGGATGAGAAGGCGGGAGAGAACACAG